AAATCATCTTATGGCTATTTGTTTGATCCAAATTTTGAAATATACACTATTTTTATTCTAATGAACAATCACAAAACAAAGAAAAAATTGAAAACACAACCTAGAAAATATTTTTTTAGCCCAATTAACATAGCCCGTTCATTTTGGTGAGATGCTTAGTTCTGGGCTTTAGAAGGATTTTTTCATTTCCAATTTTGTTGGATGACTTTATTATCATTAAATGAACAATTTTAAAAAAGGAAAAAATGATTTGAGTTTATAAAGGCTAATATCTTGAAATTCACAAAATGAATGTTCTAGATTCGTTTTTTGAGGGGACTCATTTTGACCATATCTAGGGTTCAAATTTAACTTTTTTTTTGGGGGGGGAGTTGATTATTGAGATAAAAATAGTGTGTGTGCAAAATTTGGAGTCATACAAATACCACAAACATGGTTTTCTAGAAATGCCGTTGTATTATACTATAATATAACCGTTGCATTGAATCATTGCTCTATATATATATATATATATATAATAAAAGAAAAACGATCTTGGATATGGAAAAAAAACTGATTGATCCCAAAAAGTGTAAGGGAGCATGCCAAGAAAATATAATTTGAGTGATATCTATAAGTTTTTCTTTTACTAAGGTTTCATTTTCAATATATTTTTAAGAAAAATTATGGATACCCTTAAATATACTTTGTAGCCCTCCAAACCCTTTATACCTTTCGTATCACAGCCTTAACCTAATTATTGTTTTTCCTTGCTTCTACTTCCCAAATCACATTGTAGTAATTTTTATGATGAAACGACCCGTTATAGTACACGTACCCCCCTCATGTTTTTGTCAACTCACATGGCACCCCGCCCGAAGCAAATTTGGGAATATGTCTAGTATAAAATTTACCGGATAGGAAGAATTTGCCCAAAAATGCGGTTTGGCATAGACACAGTAAAACAAGTACGGAATTGAAAGAGCATGGCCAAAAATCCGGTCCGATTGAAATGTGTGCCGGACTGGTCATAAAAAGCTACAAGCCGGTCCGACACATTTTTTGCCAGATTGCATTTTTTACCGTGTTCTTATAGTCCGGCACATGTCTTACCAGACCATGGCAAAAACAATAAAAAACTACGGTCTAGAATTGGACCAATAGTGAGGCTTCTAGAATTCAAAGGTTGAAGCCGGTCCGACAAACTTTTGTGCTGAACCGAAAGAGAATCTAGCAGTCCGACAAAAAATTGTGCCAAATTAAAATATTGCTTCAATTTCAATAAACCTCACTATCCGTCCGACACATTTTTGTGCCAAACCATCGTACTTTCCCATTTTGGATAAGGGAGAGAGAAAAACTAATGTAACTCACTATCCGTCCGACACACTTTTGTGCCAGACCTTGTTCCGAATCGTACTTTCCCATTTCGGATAGGGGAGAGAGAGAAACTAATGTAACTCACTATCCGTCCAACACACTTTTGTGCCAGACCTTGTTCCGGATGGAAAGAGATAAACTAATGTAAGGCAGGGAGGGGAGAGAGAGATTAGTAATGTAAGGCAGGGAGGGGAGAGAGAGATTAGTATCAGGTACGGAGGAGAGAGTTTTATCCAGTAAGGGAAGACGAAAAGGGTAGTTTAGTCTTTAATGGATTGAAAGGCTAGTTTGGTTTTTAACATATTAATTTTTTTTGCCGGGATAAAAGCAAAAAGATACAGTAATTGAGTTACAGCAAAAAGATACAAAAATTGAGTTACAAGTGTGATAAAAAAAGTATGAACAATTGTTTCATGGGGCAGGATCACATTTATAGTGCAGAGATATAAAACATCTTAAAACCAATTGTAACTAATTGTTCAAATATTTTCCAAATATATTATTATTGCTATTTTTGTAAATTTCATTTATTTTTTCTATTCATGATCTCTATATTAAAGACTATATATTCTCTAAAAATTAATATCAAATTATATTTATTGCCAATCGGGCATTTATACATGTGCTGGCTTAGCCACATGCTAACCGCGTCCAAAAGTATTAGAAGATCGAATGCTTACGTGGTACATTTCAGGGGTAAAGACTACATTTCAGGGGTACACAGTACATTATTTTAACAAACGTGAATGGTAGACAAGGGTGTGCGATGGAAGTCATGGATGGAGAAAGAGAGCGGTCCATTCATCCAATCAACAAATAAGGTCAAATAAAGTGGCTCTGTTCTTTATTCCACCGAGACATAAAAAAAGGGAAGGGACCTCTGGGAAAAACAGGCATGGAAAAGGACAAATAATAATAAGAAATTGCTGTTTTTTTCTCTCATTAAAAGTATGAAGAACAAAAACAGACCTCATTGACTTCACACAAGCACCAAAAGACACCACAACTAAAAGAGCTCCAATGCGCACACTGTTTAGAGAGAGGACCACAATTCTTTCTATTTCATGTCTTTGTGTCAAAACTCAAGAGGATAGAGAGAGAGAACGAACTAAACCTCCTTTCTAACTGCAACTGTTTCACTTCTTCACTGCACCCTTTCTATCAACTACTGCAACACACACGACATAGGAAATAAGTATTTCCATTCTATTCTCTCACTCTCAAAACTCATTCTTGTACCAGAAGACTCCCTCTCCCTTCTTATCAGGCTCAACATACACACACTCCTTTGCCTCCCTGTACATTGCCTTATAAAAAGGTGTAGCATCATATCTATAGTACTCCCCCAATATTGGCTTTATCGCCTTTGTCGCCTCCTCTGCATGGTAGTGTGGCATCGTCGAGAACAGATGGTGTGCAACATGTGTGTCGGTGATGTGGTGGAACACTGTGTTCAATATACCATAGTCTCTATCCACTGTGGCCAAAGCCCCTCGAAGCCAATCCCACTCCGTCCCATCATAGTGAGGCAATGCTGGATGTGTATGTTGCAGAAAAGTGATCAAGACCAAGAACCCGTTCACAATCAAAAGGGGCACACCGTACACGCACACGACATGGGTGAAACCATAAGCAAAAGAGGCACGATAGATGGCATACAATGCGGCCAAGATCCCGAGATCAGAGATGAAAATTTGGGTACACTCTCTGTCTGAATAGATGGGGCCGTAGGGATCGAAATGGCAAGCAAAACGGGGGTAAGCTCGGCCTGATACATTGAAGGCCAAATACAGGGGCCAACCCATGGTGAGAGAAACAAACAATGTCATAACTCGACCAGGTGGGTTGTTTAGATATGGAGAGAACCAAGCAAGTTGGGCTTTCGGTTTGGGAACAAAGACCTCATCTCTCTCCAAAGAACCAGTGTTAGAGTGGTGGCGCCGGTGGCTGTATTTCCATGAGAAGTAAGGCACCAAGAGTGCAGAATGCAGAACAAGGCCAACCAAGTCATCTAACCATGAGTAGTCAGAGAAAGCATGGTGGCCACACTCGTGGGCCAGGACCCAAACACCGGTTAAGACACAACCTTGAACAACCCAGTAAAGGGCCCAAGCCATGAAGCGAGCGAGGGGCAAGGGTAAGAGAGGGATGAATTGGGTTAGATAGAGAAGCGAGAAAGAGATGGAGAGGTCCATGACGACATAAGAGAAGGAGCGTGGTATGGATCGGTTGAAACAGTGAGGGGGGATGGCTTTTTTCAGTTGGCCGACAGTGAACGGCGGTTTGGCAGAGGGGACCCTATCAGTGGATTTAGGAGCTGGGAGGTCCATGCGCCCACCTGCACCCATCGTTATGGGTTTCAAGTCCTTTAAATACCTGCAACCGTGAGAGAAGGTTGTGCATTAGAGAGAGAGCGACCTTGTATATGTTGCAATTCATGAGCAGACATGCATTTTATAGAGGGAGCCGTATGCAAGTACGAAGGAGAAAGATTGCAAATTTTAGAATTCATCAATAGGTATACACAATTACACATTTCAATCAGTGATGTATATAGCCACATGGGAGCAGTGGCACCTAGCGGGTCGACCAAATTAGATCGACCTGGAATGAGGTCTACATAAATGATATGGACCCGTGAATCCAGTCTGGACCCAGGATCTGCTTTACCTGATACAGGTAGGGGACCATGACCTTACCGGATTGGACCACTATAATGTCCGACCAGATAGGGAATTCCAAAGTCCCAAACCACTTGCATCCATACAGAGACAGAGAGACTGGCAACATCATCATCATCATCATCATCGAAGACTTATCTCGAGTATTTACTGAGAGACTAGCAATCCATGCAACCAATTTTTATGTGTATGTCATTAACATAACAGAGGTAACATAACAGAGGGACAAGACTCTTTCAGGGAGAGAGCTGCAGCCCTGTTATGGCACCAATCTTAACTCTCCCTCCCTCCCTCCCTCTATCTCTCTAGAGAGAAATGAGAGCTTAAGCATTGATGCCAGAGCAAGGACGTGTAGTATATTTCCCACTCTGAACGCGATTGCTGCATCAATGCTCTCACAGTGAATCATAACTGGTTAAGTTAATAAATTAACCTTTGTCTATTGCTCCCTACTCGAGATAGAAAAGGGAGAAACAGGAAGTTTAATTTTTTTTGGAATTCACAAGCACATGACTACTGCTCAAGCTGCGACAAACACAAGGTGGGGTTTAAGACAGAGAGCATGCACATGGAAAATTAATGGTGGAACAGGGATGCCTCTTTCTCTCTGTCTCTACCAGCCAGTACCAGACTTTCTTGTACTTTCAACATCTTGACAAAAAAAATGTACAAATTTAACACGAAGAACAAATTTGAGAATATCCACTGTAAAGAAATCAAGCTTCCATCGGGTTTGCTGAAAAGCCCAACCTTGTTGAATAATTTCTTAGGAAAATGCCCAAGCAAAAGTTACCCTCCCTCTCTCTCTCTCTCTCTCTCTCTCTCTCTCTACTA